AAGGTGAGAAACCATGTGTGGCCACGTTGACAAAGGCAAACCTCCTAGTGAAAGAGTTCAAACGGCGGAGCGACTTCAAGCTGGTTTTCCGTGACCTTCCTTTGGAAAAGGCTGGGATCCTTGTGATTTCGGACGCCTCCTTGGGAAATACCACAAAGTCCGGTGGTGTTGAAGGTCAAGAGAAGTTGTATAGCCAGAGCTCCTACTTCATTTTGGTTTGTGATGAAAACCTTCTTCAAGGACGAGAAGGGTGGTTCAATGTTTTGGACGCACGAAGTCATCGACTTCCCAGAGTCTGTCGATCGACGTACAGCTCTGAAACCCTTGGTTTGGAGGAGGCAATGGACGCTGGTGTTTTCTGTCGTGGATGTTTCAGCGTGCTGGCTGGTCTTCCGATGGAGCGGAGAGACGCTCATAAAGTCACGGAGGTGATTCCGATGACGGCAATTACAGATGCCAAGGACACTTTCGACAGAGGGAACAGTGACACCAACACGTATGGAGCGCAGAAGTCACTCGCCTTCTCAGTAGCCTGGATCAGGGCTACCCTTGGAGGAGCCAACACCTCACTCAAGTGGACGGCGACAGCCAACATGTGGGTTGACGCAGGTACCAAGGAGATGCCACTGGACCACCTGCACAAAATCCTAGATTGTGGACGATGGAGCTATGTGTTTAATGCCAACTACGTGAAACAGCCCAAGAAGAAGAAGATCACTGATGCTGCAGTGAAAGGGCCGTTGCCTGGTGTGCCCCTGGAAGGCAAAATGCCAATTCTCCCGTTCCTGCTGAATGTTTGTAGGAATCCCGGGTGGCATCAGAAATCGGGTTTGGTAGTTCACGTCGCTTATGGAGCGAAATCCTTTCGAGTTCCCGATGCTAGGTACAGTGTTTGGCGTTTTCCCCTCCGAAGTACATATGGAAGATTTGACCTTGAAGATGGTCGCTCGGAGTGGAGGGTTTTGGAGTCGAAAGAGGATTTGACTCTACTCGGAAAGAAGCAGGAGCTTCTTGGTTGCGTGGCAGATTGTTTGGTGAGCGTTTTCCAGTCTCGGATCAAGAAAGAAAAGACATCTACTGAAGAAGCGAACTTGTTCGATCGGCATTGATCCGGACTGAGAGAGCGTCGTGTTTACCCGATGGCATTTAGGCGCCTCAAGCCTTAGGTTACGCATCCGCCTCGGTGGAAAACGGCTGACGGCAGCGACTGCTCGCTGCTTTGTTTCAAATATAATTCGCTGTTAGCAGCTTTGCTCATCCGAGGCAAAGCTCGTGAGCACGTCTCCGGAAACGTTGGCGGCAGCATGCGCCATGGGTGATGAAAGCATACAGCAGGAGAGCCAAACCTTTTGGGCTGACGCATTCGAGACCTAACACATCCTAAAACCTGTCAATAGCAACCTATTAGCGATGGCCTCCTAGCATTGGGTAGTGAAGAAAGCTATGGAGCTTGATCAACTTGTGAGGAGGTTTTGGCCATTTGGGCCCGCCAAGCGTTCCAAGCTCAATTGGGTTGATTTGGAAAAAGAAATTGGCAGGAAAGCGGAATGGGACAGCAACGCCAATCCTCAGAAAACTGTATGTTAAGAAAAGGAAAACTGGCTCTGCTTAAAAAAAGGAAAACTTACGGAAATGATAAAGTCATTTTTTCTTTTCGTTTGATCTTGAGAGGCCATCGCTACTAGGTTGAAGGCCATCGCTCTTACTGAAATGAGACCTTCTTTTTCTTTCCTTGGTGTGACACCGTGGCACCAAGTTTTGAGTTTCACGAGGCCTCTTCCAGCTTCTGCTGCCCTGGCAGTCCCACTGCTGCGAAGTTCACGTGAGTTTCTTGTCAGTTGTGCGAAAAGCGCGTTTGTTTAAGTGCGAGGGGTCAGACATAGATCGAAGCGGCGTTTGCGTGTCAGCAAACTTGTCAAACGAAGGAGTTGGTGTTCCGGTTCTGACCCACCAGTGTAACACCCGCATTGCCGTCGCGAAAACACCTGCGACCAGAACAGGCGATCATACCATGAATGCTTCTAGTAACAAGTGCCTTACTAGTAGTAACAAGAAGCTATTAGAAACAAGTGC